AACAGTCGATATTTTAAAATTATTTGTTGTAGCAATGTTCTACTGTATATCAAAACAATGTTGACAGTCCATTGCTTGTTCATGAGAAGGATGTTGGAAAACTTGTCATTGTTTGTATATATATTAGATTTTTTATTTTTTTTACGCCTCACTCAGCAATATGCAGCTATATGACGGCGGTCTGAAAATAATCGAGTCTGGGCCAGACAATCCAATGTTTGACATTATGAGCATCGATGCACGCAATTGGGATCGATGACATGCATGAACCAAGTCAGCGAGCCTGACCACCCAATCCCGTTAGTCGCTTCTTACGACAAGCATAGTCGCTTTTTATGGCAAGCATGGGTTGCTGAAGACCTATTCTACCCCGATATAGTATAGTACATATATTGGAACAATATTACAAAAAAGTTTATTGTTTGTGGAATTAATGAAGACAGTGTTGTAAAAATAGCATTGTGTAACATGTAAACGAATAATGTTGCTACAAACTAAGATTGTTTACATACAAGTACGAAGTACAAGGAAAAAGCATGTGTTATCACACATACTAAATAATTCGTTATAACAATGATCTACTGGGTATCAGAACAATGTTGTTTGTTCATTGTTTCTACATTTCATGAGAACAATGTTGCAACCAAGTTCATTGTTTCTATATGTATGACAACAACATTGCAACTTGGTTCATTGTTTGTACATTTCATGAGAACAATGTTGCAACCTAGTTCATTGTTTGTACATTTCATTAGAACAATGTTGCAACCAAGTTCATTGTTTGTTTTTTATGTATGACAACAACATTGCAACTAAGTTCATTGTTTGCACATTTTATGAGAACAATGTTACATCCAAGTTCATTGTTTGTACTTTTCATGAGAACAATGTTGCAACCTAGTTCATTGTTTGTACATTTCATTTGAACAATGTTGCAACCAAGTTCATTGTTTCTATATGTATGACAACAACATTGCAACTTGGTTCATTGTTTGTACATTTCATGAGAACAATGTTGCAACCTAGTTCATTGTTTGTACATTTCATTAGAACAATGTTGCAACCAAGTTCATTGTTTGTTTTTTATGTATGACAACAACATTGCAACTAAGTTCATTGTTTGCACATTTTATGAGAACAATGTTACATCCAAGTTCATTGTTTGTACTTTTCATGAGAACAATGTTGCAACCAAGTTCATTGTTTCTTTATGTATGACAACAAAATTGCAACTAAGTTCATTGTTTGCACATTTTATGAGAACAATGTTACATCCAAGTTCATTGTTTGTACATTTCATGAGATGAGGTGAGGTGAAATTGGGTTTAACGTCGCGTCCAAGATTATTGCACTTATATAGCGACGTGCATGCACGTGTATGTGTGTGTGTGGCTGCTTGTACTAGTCCGGACTGATGCCGATTTATAGTGCTAGCTCACTGAAAATACCATGCCGCAGTTTAACATGAATACCCCACTCAGACACAGTATACTGACTCCGAGCCGACCAGTCCTTGTTTTAGCCCCTTAATGCCGAGCGCCAGACAAGACAGGGTAACAACAAGTACAATCTTTTAACGTCTTTTTGTATGACGCGGCCCGGGATCGAACCCTGGACCTTCCGCTCTCCGGGCGGACGCTGTACCACAAGACCACGGAGGCGGTCACATTTCATGAGAACAATGTTACATCCAAGTTCATTGTTTGTACATTTCATGAGAACAGTGTTTTTGTACATACACGTAGTGCATGTGAACTATCAAGTGTTATCACACAAACGATTACGATATTTTTAGACAAAAAACAATGATGGTGCAATACAGTATGAATATATACTCTTCAAAAAAAGAAACTTGACACTGACTTTCAAAATGTAATATGATGCGATTGTTTCAAAATAGGACACAGAAACCATAATTGAAACACTGTTTGAAGATCAATGTACACAATGTTCAAAACAGTAATCGTGTCACCTAGACAGACACACGTACACGATACAGTTAATGTCACAGGGGTACAGAAAATGTCAGTATCGGTTGTGCCCACCACGTGCATCAAAGACCGCTTGACACCGACGACCCATAGATGCAATCAAGTTGTTAATAACACGCTGTCGGATGTGCTGCCATTCATGCTGAAGTGCATCAAGAAGCGCCGGAAGTGTTTGGGGCGGTGGATTCCTTCTGCGATCGCATCGATCTAACTCGTCCCACAGATGCTCAATCGGGGGCAAATCTGGTGACCGGGTTGGCCAAGGTAATGTCTGGATGCTGTTGTGGTGTAAGAAGTCCTGACAAACACGTGCAATATGCGGTCGAGCGTTGTCCTGCTGGAACTGTCCGCCATGAACGTTGACGTGAGGAAGAACGTAAGGCTGTAGGATCAAGTCTCTGTAACGCACACTTGTCAATGCACCTGCCACATGCACGAGGGGCGTCCTACCACCGTGATGAATTCCGGCTCATACCATGACACTCCCGCCGCAAAATGGGACAACCTGCTGCACACAGTTTGGGGCGTAACGTTCACCCCGACGTCTGTAGACACGTGCGCGCCCATCAGCACGTGTGAGTAGGAAACGGGACTCGTCAGTAAACAGTACATTTCTCCACCTTGCACGTGCCCATCTAAACCTCTGTTGGCACCAAAGCAGACGGTCCGCCAGATGACGTGGGGTCAATACATGACTTCGAACAGGTCTTCGTGCAAAAAGTCCAGCCTCCCTCAGTCTGTTGCGTACCGTTTGATCTGATATTCCGCGTACCCCAGGGATATGTGTGGTTGTAGACGTGGATGTGGTAGTGCGGTCTCGGAGGTGTCGCAGCCGGATGTATCGATCTTGTGCTTGGGTTGTGACCCTTGGTCTTCCTGACCTTGGTCTGTCGTCAACTCTGTTGGTGTTGTTGTATCGGGTCCACAGTGCGGAGATTGTCTGTCTGGATACGCCAAAGTGCCTGGCCACTTCCTTGCTGAGTTGCTCCAGCTTGTAATCTCCCAATGGCGTTCTTCCGTTGAGCTGCATTCAGTCTTGGCATTCTGTCACTGCCTCTACTGCCGTTATAAGGAGTGTATGAACAGCCGTTGATGCGGATTTTTCTATCCATTCAGCAGGGGGGCCTGCATGCCTAAATGCAGGATCCTGTGCTGCACGTTTTTTACAGGCGGTTGCGTTTGGATGAAGCTGTAAAACTGATCCCCAAACGCTACGTTTATGTGCTTTGCATGTGTTTTCGCGGATTATAGACACATCATCTTTCTGTTTGACTTATTTGGTTCTCATTTAATGTAATTATTTTAGATATTTGGCAAAAGTGGTTTTACATCTATGTCAAGTTTCTTTTTTTGAAGAGTATTTGTTTCGACTGTTACCTTCAGATGACGAACGTCGTGTGTCTCAATGCGCTGTTCCTGGTGTTCTTCGTGGCCGCATCCTCTGCAGTTGGTTTGTATATGTCCCTGTATCATGGCGGCATTTGCTTCTTTATCAGTCTCCACTGTATTCCGAGATACCTCGGTCGTGGGGGGCGGTCGGGTAGCCTAGTGGTTAAAGCGTTCGCTCGTCACGCTGAAGACCCGGGTTCGATTCCCGACATGGGTACAATGTGTGAAGCCCATTTCTGGTGTCCCCCCGCCGTGATATTGCTGGAATATTGCTAAAAGCGGCGTAAATCCATACTCACTCACACTCACCTCGGTCGTGGAATATTTTGCTGATGTACCTATCTTGCAGAAGATCACATTTTGTGAAGAACTTGTTCAGCATTTTGCATTTATCTTCCGAAGAGTTCGTCAAATACCGCGCAGAAAGTAAACATGTGAGTCCGATCGCGAAGCTGGTTTAAAAAGTATAAACGGATATCTATTTCGTTTTGAAGTGATGTTGACCTTTGTATTATTAGTGACCAGAAGTGCAAGACTGTATGTTTACACTAGTGATCTAGCCGTGGATATGTTTATCATAAAATGCCTGCCACAAGTCAAACAGGTGAAGAATATGAAATTCGTGAAAACTAAGCTCAAACGTTTGCTGAATAAGGTGCATATATTTATACATTATATTATGGCAGTACTTAGCATGAGACCCTTTGCCTTATTATAGTTGATAGTGTATTTGTTGTTTTATCGTTTTGTTTAGTTTGGGATCCATTTACGATTGACAGTGTGAATCTTGTGTATTCTGTCAAACCAGCTCGGTTTGACAACCCTGCATCAAGGACGAGTGATAGTGTTTTTGTTACATCATGGCAGAATCTGCTTGGACGAATTTACACAAAACTTTTGCCTTTTACGCCCAATGGAAATAATCGAGACTTGTTGATAAAACCTGTTGGATTTATATCCTTCTCTCTATTACGAGCGATAATTTAACTCTTGTATCATGACTGAACCTGCTTGGTTTCACATCCCTGTGTCTGTTACGAATGATGATGCAACTGTTGTATTATGACATAACTTGCCTGTATCAATGACGAGTGGTAGTGTATCTGTTACATCATGGTTGAATTTGCTTGGACTAATTTTCGCCGTTATTTTGTTTTTAACGCACAGTTGAATCTGTTCCGTCGGATAATCGAGACCTGTTTGGCGTTATATACATTGTACTTGGTTCTACATCCCTATGCCTATTACGGAACGCCTCCGAGGTGTAGCAGATAGAGCGCCTGCCCAGAGAGCCGAAAGTCGGTGGCTCGATCCCTATCGTGTCATACTAAAATATGCTGAAAGATAATACTTGTTTTTACCCTGCCTGGCTAATTCTTGGCTCATGGAAACCGACAGTGTGTGCCCCGTTAGTATTCTTGTTGAGAAAAGTAAATGCAAACTGTTTTTCCCTCGTCCCTTTTATTTTCAATGCACAAAAGTACAACTGGCCCAGCGGTGGCATCCGTCTCAAACACATGCAAAGGCAAACATTTGTCTTCTACTCATACTGCTAATCTTTTGCTCTTGTCTAACCCGAACATGACAAATTATGTTTTCTGATGCGTTCGTTTCTTAAACTGTTTCAGGGGACATGTCTAAAGTCCACGCATATTGGAGAGAAGAGGCAGTCCTTGCGAGGCGTAAGATGAAAGGACTAGTGTCTGTGTACTCTGAACTGTAATCGGTGTTGTTTTGTACTTTATCGTTCATAGTGAGTGAGTGAGTGAGTATGGTTTTACGCCGCTTTTAGCAATATTCCAGCAATATCACGGCGGGGGCCACCAGAAATGGGCTTCACACATTGTACCCATGTCGGGAATCGAACCCGGGTCTTCGGCGTGACGAGCGAACGCTTTAACCACTAGGCTACCCGACGGCCCTTTATCGTTCATACAAATACAGGACGTATAAGTGTTATTCTGTCAAACGTATGCATAATCACATTTACATGATACATCATTCCACATGCTACAGAAAATAGTGTCACTTCAATGTTGACTTTTTATTTTGAGGGGATACATTGCTTCTGAGAATTTTCGGTATCACTTACAGACAGATTGTTTGTTTCTGTGTTTGTTGTTTAACGCCGCACTCAACAATATTCCAGCTATATGACGGCGGTCCGTAAATATTCGAGTGAATATTATCTATAATTCAGTGATTGACATCATGGTCATCGATCCACGCAATTGGGATAATGCATCAACCAAGTCAGAGAGACTGACCACCCGTTAGTTGCCTCTTACGACAAGCATAGTCGCATATTACAGCAAGCAATTTTACAGAAAGAACCGAGGAAGATAATATGGCCTGTTCCGTTCAATATCCACTTTACTTCTCAGGTCTGACAGCACGTTCAAGTTCCAGCAGCAGCTCCGATAGCAGCTCCGATACTACCCCAGCTCCTACCACAGCTCCTACCCCAGCTCCTGGCGGAGGTTAAGGTAATCATTTTCCACTACTCACTCACAAATACTTGGTGACGCTACTCGCCCATAAAAGCAGGTTGACACTACTTGCCAAAAAGAGCATGGTGACACTATTCGCCCACAAATACTTGGTGACACTCCTCGTCTATAAGAGCATGGTGACACTACGTGCAAAAAAGAGCATGGTGACACTATTCGCCCACAAATACTTGGTGACACTCCTCGTCTATAAGAGCATGGTGACACTACTTGCCAAAAAGAGCATGGTGACACTATTCGCCCACACATACTTGGTGACACGTTTCGACTATAAGGGCATGGGGACATTACTCGCCTATAAGAGCATGGTGACACTACTCTCCCACAAATACTTGGTGAGACTACTCGTCTATGAGAGCATGATGACACTACTCGTCTATAGGGGCATGGTGAAACTACTCCTCTTCAAGTGCATGGTGACACTACTCGTCTACAAGAACATGGTGACACTACTCGCCTATGAGAGCATGAACACACGGCTTGCCTATAAAAGCATGGTGACACTACTCGCCTATAAGAGCATGATGACACTGCTCGCCTATAAGAGCAGTGTGACACTACATGACTAGAAGAGCATAGTGACATTACTTACTCATAAATAATTGCTGACACTACTCGCTTATAAGATCATGGTGACACTACTCGCCCAAACATACTTGGTGAAACTACTCGTCTATGAGAGCATGGTGACATTACTCGCCTATAAGAGCATGGTGACACTACTCGCCTATGAGAGCATTATGACACTGCTCGACTATAAGAGCATTGTGACACTACATGACTAGAAGAGCATAGTGACATTATTTATTCTTAAATAATTGGTGACACTACTCGCTTATAAGATCATGGTGACACTACTCGCCCAAAAGTACTTGGTGAAACTACTCGTCTATGAGAGCATGGTGACATTACTCGCCTATAAGAGCATGGTGACACTACTCGCTTACAAGAGCATGGTGACACTCCTCGCCCACAAATACTATGTGACACTACTCGTTTTTAATAGCATGGTAACACTATACGCCTATAAATGCATGGTGACACTACTCACCTATTATAGTATGCCGACACTACTCGCCTATATGAGCATGGTGACACTACTTGCCTATAAAAGCATGGTGACAGTCCTCGCCTCTGAGAGCATGATGACACTACTCGCCTATAAGAGAACGGTGACACTACACGCCTATTAGAGCGAGGTGACACTACTCGCCTATAAGAGCATGGTGACACTATTCGCCCACAAACACTTGGTGAGACAACACGTCTATGAGAGCATTGTGACACTACACGCCTATAAGAGCATGGTAACATTACTTAATCACAACAGTTGGTGATAATACTCGCTTATAAGAGCATGGTGACACTACTCGCCCACAAATATATGGTAAGACTACTCGTCTATGACAGGATGGCGACACTAGACGCCTATAAGAGCATGGTAACACTACTTACTCACCTCGCCTATACGAGCATGATGACACTAATCGCCTACATATACTTGGTGAGACTACTCGCTTATAACAACAAAGTGACACTACTCGACCAAAAAGTATTGGTGAGACTACTCGTCCATGAGCGCATGGCGACACTACTCGCCTATAAGAGCATGATGACAATATTCGCCCACAGATACTTGGTAACACTACTCGACTATAATAGCATGGTGACACTACTAGTCTATAAAAGTATGTTGACACTACTCGCCTATAAGTGCATGGTGACACTACTCACCTATAATAGTATGGCGACACTACTCGCCTATAAGAGCAACGTGACACTACTCGCCCATAAATACTTGGCGACACAACTCGTCTATAATAGCACGGTGACACTACTCTCCGATAAGAGCATTGTAACACTATTTGCCTATAAGTGCATGGTGACACTACTCACCTATAATAGTATGGTGACACTACTCGCCTATAAAAGTATGGTGACACTACTCGCCTATAAGAGCATGGTGACACTGCTCGCCCACAAATACTTGGTAAGACAACTCGTCTATAATAGCAAGGTGACACTACTCTCCGATAAGAGCATTGTAACACTATTGCCTATAAGTGCATGGTGACACTACTCACCTATAATAGTATGGTGACACTACTCGCCTATAAAAGTATGGTGACACTACTCGCCTATAAGAGCATGGTGACACTACTCGCTTATAAGAGCATAGTGACACTACTCGCTTACAAGAGCATGGTAACACTACTTACTCACAACAGTTGGTGATAATACTCGCTTATAAGAGTATGGTGACACTACTCGCACACAAATACTTGGTAAGACTACTTGTCTATGACAGGATGGTCAGACTACTCGTCCATGAGAGCATGGCGACACAACTCGCCTATAAGTGCATGATGACACTATTCGCCCACAAATACTTGGTGACACTCCTCGTCTATAAGAGCATGGTGACACTACTTGCCAAAAAGAGCATGGTGACACTATTCGCCCACACATACTTGGTGACACGTTTCGACTATAAGAGCATGGTGACACTACTCTCCCACAAATACTTGGTGAGACTACTCGTCTCTGAGAGCATGATGACACTACTCGTCTATAGGGGCATGGTGAAACTACTCCTCTTCAAGTGCATGGTGACACTACTCGTCTACAAGAACATGGTGACACTACTCGCCTATGAGAGCATGAACACACGGCTTGCCTATAAAAGCATGGTGACACTACTCGCCTATAAGAGCATGATGACACTGCTCGCCTATAAGAGCAGTGTGACACTACATGACTAGAAGAGCATAGTGACATTACTTACTCATAAATAATTGCTGACACTACTCGCTTATAAGATCATGGTGACACTACTCGCCCAAAAGTACTTGGTGAAACTACTCGTCTATGAGAGCATGGTGACATTACTCGCCTATAAGAGCATGGTGACAATACTCGCTTACAAGAGCATGGGGACACTCATTGCCCACAAATACTATGTGACACTACTCGTTTTTAATATCATGGTAACACTACACGCCTATAAATGCATGGTGACACTACTCACCTATTATAGTATGCCGACACTACTCGCCTATATGAGGATGGTGACACTAATCGCCTACATATACTTGGTGAGACTACTCGCTTATAACAACAAAGTGACACTACACGACCAAAAAGTATTGGTGAGACTACTCGTCCATGAGCGCATGGCGACACTACTCGCCTATAAGAGCATGATGACAATATTCGCCCACAGATACTTGGTGACACTACTCGACTATAATAGCATGGTAACACTACTCGTCTATAAAAGTATGTTGACACTACTCGCCTATAAGTGCATGGTGACACTACTCGCCTATAATAGTATGGTGACACTACTTGCCTATACGAGCATGGTGACACTACTCGCCCCAAAATACTTGGTGAGATTACTCGTCTATGAGAGCATGATGACACACATCGCCCACAGATACTTGGTGACACTACTTGACTATAAGAGCATGGTGACACTATTCGCCCACAGATACTTGGTAACGCTACTCGTCTATAATAGCATGGTGACACTACTCACCTATTATAGTATGCTGACACTACTCGCCTATATGAGCATGCTACACTACTTGCCTATAAGAGCATGGTGACACTACTCACCTATAATAGTATGGCGACACTACTCGCCTATAGTATCATTGTGACACTACTTGCCCATAAATACTTGGCGACACAGCTCGCCTATAGTAGCATTGTGACACTACTCGCCTATAATAGTATGGTGACACCACTCGCCTATAAGAGCATGGTAACCCTACTCGCTTATAAGAGCATGGTGACACTACTCGCTTATAAGAGCATGGTGACACTACTCGCCCCAAAATACTTGGTGAGACTACTCGTCTATGAGAGCATGATGACACATCGCCCACAGATACTTGGTGACACTTCTCGACCATAAGAGCATGGTGACACTATTCGCCCACAGATACTTGGTAACACTACTCGTCTGTAATAGCATGGTGACACTACTCGCCTATAATAGTATGCCGACACTACTCACCTATATGAGCATGGTGACACAACTCGCGTATAAGAGCATGGTGACACTGCTCGTCTATAAAAGCATGGTGAAACTACTCGCCTATAAGTGCATGGTGACACTTCTCACCTATAATAGTATGGCGACGCTACTCGCCTATAGTAGCATTGTTGCACTACTTGCCCATAAATACTTGGCGACACAACTCGCCTATAGTAGCATTGTGACACTACTCGACTATAACAGCATGGTGACACTGCTCGTCTATAAAAGCATGGTGAAACTACTCGCCTATAAGTGCATGGTGACACTACTCACCTATAATAGAATGGCGACACTACTCGCCTATAGTAGCATTGTGACACTACTTGCCCATAAATACTTGGCGACACAACTCGCCTATAGTAGCATTGTGACACTACTTGCCTGTAAGTGCATGGTGACACTTCTCGCCTATAGGAGCATGGTGACACTACTCGCCTATAGTAGCATTGTGACACTACTTGCATTTAAGAGCTTGCGACACTACTCGCCTATAAGAGCATGGTGACACTATTCGCCCACAGATACTTAGTGACACTACTCGTCTATAATAGCACGGTGACACTACTCGCCTATAAGAGCATGGTAACACTACTTGCCTATAAGTGCATGGTGACAATACTCACCCATAATAGTATGGTGACACTACTCGCCTATAAGAGCATGGTGACACTACTCGCCTATAGCAGCATTGTGACACAACTTGCCTGTAAGAGCATGGCGACACTACTCGCCCATACATACTTGGTGACACTATTCGCCCACAAATATTTGGTGACACTACTCGTCCACCAGTTAATTGCAACACTGCTCCCTCACAAGTTCTTGTGCCACTACTCCTTCACAAGTACATGGCGACATTGCTGTTTCAACAATTATTTGGTGTAGCTACTAGCCCATAAGTGCAAGCTGTCACGACTCGCTCAGAAGTACATAGTGACACTACTCCCCCACAATTATACAGGGCAGCACTAGCCAATAAGTGCAAGCTGTCACGACTCGCTCAGAAGTGCATAGTGACACTACTCCCCCACAATTATACAGGGCAGCACTAGCCCATAAGTGCAAGCTGTCACGACTCGCTCAGAAGTGCATAGTGACACTACTCCCCCACAATTATACAGGGCAGCACTAGCCCATAAGTGCAAGCTGTCACGACTCGCTCAGAAGTACATAGTGAAACTTCTCCCCCACAATTATACAGGGCAGCACTAGCCCATAAGTGCAAGCTGTCACGACTCGGTCAGAAGTCGTAGTGACACTACTCCCCCACAATTATACAGGGCAGCACAAGCCCACAGTGACGTTTTGACTTGTAGCATATGTCCACGTATTTTTTTCCGGTGAACACTTGACATGCCTTTGCATGTCTTTGTGACGGGTGACACCGTTGGGCAGGATACGCTCACCTGTTCACCTGGTAACATCGCTATTTGATAGTGATTCATAAACACAACCTATAGTCTGAATCGTAGAATGGATTCTGCTTTAAGCAAAGATTTCCTTTGATTATTGAAATATTTTGTCACTTTTATTGCCGTATATAGCATGTGCATTTGATTGTGTGAGGTTGTTCCCGGTACTGGACAGCTTCGCCCGAACGCAACGGTCCCCAACAGCAACGGCTGCACGTGGAATCATAGACTATGATGTGTGATCCGATTTCGATTGTAACCAGTCTCTTTATTGTCCTTGTCAAGTAAACGTCTTGTGTTCGTACCTCTGTGTTGTTATGGGCCGGAAGACCTTACAATAGCTACTTATTTTTCAGACTGACGGATTGGCATTCCACCATGAAAACGTCCAGATCTATGCAATCAATAAAGCATGCTTTGTAAAATCAGTATTCTGTGTTCATTGTTTTGTTTACCATGTTTATTCTCTTACTTTGATTGAATTTTAAATTAACGCCACATTTAGCAATATACCAGCTTTCTGTCCGAGGTCTGGACCAGACGTTTCAATGATTGGCGCCATGAGCATCGATCTACACAACAGGGATAAGATGACATGCATCAACCACGTCAGCGAGCCTGACCACCCCATCTCGACCCCGTTATATAATTAGTCGCATCTTACGACAAGTATTGGATGCTGAACATCATATCTACCCCGGATCATCATGGGTCCGATCTCTGTGTGATGTTATTCGTAGTATTATATCTTGGTGCGAGGGGTAACGGTCTGAGTAACGCTAATGATAGACGTTTACGACAAACCAAGGATCATAATCAGTGACTCTAGGATTATTGTCCAGCAATGTTACCATGGGGGTAAACGTCAAATCATCTTGGTCTTCTCTTCCACACTAAGCTGCCACCAACCCCCTCTCTCAAGGCCATAGTGACATTACTCCCACAAGGCCATAGTGACATTACTCCCACAAGGTCATGGTGTCATTACTCCAACAAGGCCATAGTGATATTACTCCCACAAAGACATAGTGACATTACTCCCACAAGGCCATACTGACATTACATGTACTCACACAAGGCCATAGTGACATTACATGTACTCACACAAGGCCATAGTGACATTACATGTACTCCCACAAGGACATAGTGACATTACATGTACTCCCACAAGGACATAGTGACATTACATGTACTCCCACAAGGACATAGTGACATTACTCACACAAAGACATAGTGACATTACTCCCACAAGGCCATAGTGACATTACATGTACTCACACAAGGCCATAGTGACATTACATGTACTCCCACAAGGACATAGTGACATTACATGTACTCCCACAAGGACATAGTGACATTACATGTACTCCCACAAGGACATAGTGACATTACTCACACAAAGAAATAGTGACATTACTCCCACAAGGCCATAGTGACATTACATGTACTCACACAAGGCCATAGTGACATTACATGTACTCACACAAGGCCATAGTGACATTACATGTACTCCCACAAGGACATAGTGACATTACTCACACAAGGACATAGTGACATTACATGTACTCCCACAAGGCCATAGTGACATTACATGTACTCCCACAAGGCCATAGTGACATTACTCACACAAGGACATAGTGACATTACATGTACTCCCACAAGGACATAGTGACATTACTCCCACAAGGACATAGTGACATTACTACCACAAGGCCATAGTGACATTACTCCCACAAGGACATAGTGACATTACTCCCACAAGGACATAGTGACATTACTACCACAAGGACATAGTGACATTACATGTACTCCCACAAGGACATAGTGACATTACTACCACAAGGCCATAGTGACATTACTCCCACAAGGACATAGTGACATTACTCCCACAAGGACATAGTGACATTACTACCACAAGGACATAGTGACATTACTCCCACAAGGACATAGTGACATTACTACCACAAGGACATAGTGACATTACTCACACAAAGACATAGTGACATTACATGTACTCCCACAAGGACATAGTGACATTACTACCACAAGGCCATAGTGACATTACTCCCACAAGGACATAGTGACATTACTCCCACAAGGACATAGTGACATTACTACCACAAGGACATAGTGACATTACTCCCACAAGGACATAGTGACATTACTACCACAAGGACATAGTGACATTACTCACACAAGGACATAGTGACATTACATGTACTCACACAAGGACATAGTGACATTACTCCCACAAGGACATAGTGACATTACTCACACAAGGACATAGTGACATTACATATACTCACACAAGGACATAGTGACATTACTCCCACAAGGACATAGTGACATTACTCCCACAAGGACATAGTGACACTACTCCCACAAGGACATAGTGACATTACTCCCACAAGGACATAGTGACATTACTCACACAAGGACATAGTGACATTACATGTACTCCCACAAGGACATAGTGACATTACATGAACTCACACAAGGCCATAGTGACATTACTCCCACAAGGACATAGTGACATTACTCACACAAGGACATAGTGACATTACATGAACTCACACAAGGACATAGTGACATTACTCACACAAGGACATAGTGACATTACTCACACAAGGCCATAGTGACATTACATGTACTCACACAAGGCCATAGTGACATTACATGAATTCACACAAGGCCATAGTGACATTACATGAACTCACACAAGGACATAGTGACATTACTCACACAAAGACATAGTGACATTACTCCCACAAGGCCATTGTGACATTACATGTACTCACACAAGGCCATAGTGACATTACATGTACTCACACAAGGCCATAGTTACATTACATGTACTCCCACAAGGACATAGTGACATTACTCACACAAGGACATAGTGACATTACATGTACTCCCACAAGGACATAGTGACATTACTCCCACAAGGACATAGTGACATTACTCCCACAAGGACATAGTGACATTACTCACACAAGGACATAGTGACATTACTCACACAAGGACATAGTGACATGACGTAACACGACACACAAGAATGACCCGTGTTAGTGGGTAGTCCAAAAATGACACAGAGTATTGACCCCTTTTATACAGCTGATGGGCAGTGCAAACGTGACATACATTACTGACCTGTTTTATACAGCTGATGGGTAGTGCAAACACAACATACATTACTGACCTGTTTTATACAGCTGATGGGTAGTGCAAACACAACATACATTACTGACCTGTTTTATACAGCTGATGGGTAGTGCAAACATGATATACATTACTCACCTGTTTTATACAGCTGATGGGTAGTGCAAACACAACATACATTACTGATTTGTTTTATACAGCTGATGGGTAGTGCAAACACAACATACATTACTGACCTGTTTTATACAGCTGCTTGGTGGTGCAAACACAACATACATTACTGACCTGTTTTATACAGCTGATGGGTTGTGCAAACACAACATACATTACTGACCTGTTTTATACAGCTGATGGGTGGTGCAAACACAACATACATTACTGACCTGTTTTATACAGCTGCTTGGTGGTGCAAACACAACATACATTACTGACCTGTTTTATACAGCTGATGGGTTGTGCAAACACAACATACATTACTGACCTGTTTTATACAGCTGATGAATGGGGCAAGCGTGACATACATTACTGACCTATTTTATACAGCTGATGGGTTGTGCAAACACAACATACATTACTGACTTGTTTTATACAGCTGATGGGTTGTGCAAACACAACATACATTACTGACTTGTTTTATACAGCTGATGGGTTGTGCAAACACAACATACATTACTCACCTGTTTTATACAGCTGATGGGTAGTGCAAACACAACATACATTACTGACCTGTTTTATACAGCTGATTGGTGGTGCAAGCGTGACATACATTACTGACCTGTTTTATACAGCTGATTGGTTGTGCAAACACAACATACATTTCTGACCTGTTTTATACAGCTGATGAATGGGGCAAGCGTGACATACATTACTGACCTATTTTATACAGCTGATGGGTTGTGCAAACACAACATACATTACTGACTTGTTTTATACAGCTGATGGGTTGTGCAAACACAACATACATTACTGACTTGTTTTATACAGCTGATGGGTTGTGCAAACACAACATACATTACTGACCTGTTTTATACAGCTGATGGGTGGTGCAAACACAACATACATTACTGACCTGTTTTATACAGCTGCTTGGTGGTGCAAACACAACATACATTACTGACCTGTTTTATACAGCTGATGAATGGGGCAAGCGTGACATACATTACTGACCTATTTTATACAGCTGATGGGTTGTGCAAACACAACATACATTACTGACTTGTTTTATACAGCTGATGGGTTGTGCAAACACAACATACATTACTGACTTGTTTTATACAGCTGATGGGTTGTGCAAACACAACATACATTACTCACCTGTTTTATACAGCTGATGGGTAGTGCAAACACAACATACATTACTGACCTGTTTTATACAGCTGATTGGTGGTGCAAGCGTGACATACATTTCTCACCTGTTTTATACAGCTGATGGATAGTGCAAGCGTGACATACATTACTCACCTGTTTTATACAGCTGCTTGGTTGTGGAAAGATGACATACATTACTGACCTGTTTTTATACAGCTGATGGGTGGTGCAAATGTGACATACATTTCTGACCCGTTCTATACAGCTGATGGGTGGTGCAAATGTGACATACATTTCTGACCCGTTCTATACAGCTGATGGGTGGCGCAAACGTGACATAAATTTCTGACCTGTTTTATGCAGCTGATGGATGGTGCAAACGTGACATACCGACCTGTTTTAAAGAGCCGATGGGTGGTGCAAACGTGATATACATTACCGACCTGAATAATTTGATTTACACTGTTGCCAAATTATTTAAATAATCTATGCACATTGTATTTAGCAACATACTCTGATTTTCTAAAGTCTGTGAAAGATTCCTTACATCGATATTGATTATTCAAACTATTCTAGTCAAAAATAGCAGAAGGGGAAAACGATTTTTTGGATAATTCAATGTGGCAAAGAGGATTCTAGAGTATATGTTGGGTGAATTAGGTCTCATAGATTTGCTGGCGTTTTCTGAATAAGCATTCTGTGGACGATTACTTAACAATATCTAACCAGTTTCATGTTTTAAGTTCTTTGGATAGGAATTCCGAATACAATCACAATATAATCAAATATAGGTAATATAAAAGGGTTTCACAATATATCAAGGCTATCTCTTTGTAGGCGATACTTAAAACTCCTTAACAATTAGTCATTGGCTAAGTGAAGAGAGAATATAGTTGACGTGGACCTGCAACTGACAGTAACCCCGAAAAGTTACCCCATGCTGCTTAAACGTATTGATATCA